TATTTTATGGGTAAAGGGTTTTAAAATTTGGGGAAGCCAAAGTGATCTAATTCTGTTTTAATTTATTTTAATTTTTATATTGTATGTATTTTAATCTTGGCTGTTCACCGCCCTGAGTCCTTCGGGAGAAGGGCGGTATACAAATTTAACAAATCTAATCTAATCTAATCTAATATTTGGGAGGAGCGATTGAAATAATGATTAGGTTTTTCTAATATCAATTGCCACAAAACTAAATTCAGCAAGTCATATTATTTGTGAACTAGATTTATATAAGAATGAAAGTTCTGATTTTTTGTTCTTAAATATTTCAATACATAGGTTTTTACATTTAAGACATAGAAAGGAACTTCTAAGTGCAGACTGATTAATCTCTGAAGCAAAATCAGGAAAGGTAACATTAGGTCTCACATTAATTAATATCTCCTCTTCTGAACTATACTTTTAGTTTCTTTTTAACTACCATATACAGGGCATCAATACAAAACAACCCTCATATCATATTTTCACATGTGAATAATATATTAATTTATATTTAGATTAAAATGGAATACTGTATAAAGCTTTTTGTATGGAGATTACACTAAAATGGAACAGTCAGTTTTCTTTTGTGCCTAATTAATATACGAAATATATTTTTTGTGTAATACGTAAACATTATTAAACTACTAAAGTATAAAGGGAATACATGCTGTTCAGGTTATGCTATATATAGTATTCATGAAATCATATGCAAAAAGTATAGTGTTGAGTAATGTTACGTTACAAAGTTTTAAAGAAGATGATGTATAAAATTTATAATTGTGAAGAAAAAAAGGAAATATTACTCCCTCTATCTGCTTTTTCAGTTCTTTAACAGGATATTGAAACAATTAATAGTTAATAAGTCATTACATCTGTATAACCAAGGCTGAAATCTTCCCTCATGGATTATTTACCTATCTCTTATGATGGGAAAAATTCACCACCCATAATTGCTCCATAAGTAAAATCCCCATGGTATTTATACATTATAAATACTAACATTTCTGATAGGAGATAAATACAAAATATCATAGTATCATATGATAAAGAAAATAGCCAATACTTATGAACTACAGATGGCAAGTGATTGTAATCAAACATCCTAAAATTGCAGTTCTAAACATACCAATAAGCCATTTTATCATAATTATGGAAATTGAATTGCTATTATGTTTGAATCAAGCTGTAAAGCAGCACGCATTTATAAAATTTAGACACTGCATATCATAACTTTTAATTGACTTTGAAATTTATCTTTTTTTTTTCACTAAGTGAAAAGAAATTATACAAGGAGAACTAAAGACTCCCTATACTACAGTATGTATCTGAATGGCTGGATATTGTTTGGGAGAAGTCCACAGGGGAATTTCAATGAGAATGAATGACTTTAACCTTCTCTGATATATTATAGGAAAAGATTGTTTCCTTTATTTCAGGCTTAAAGTTGCCAAGCTTGGAGACCTCTGCTCTATTTTATAACTTTTATATAGAAATCAGGTTTGTAATATCTGCTTTAATGAATGTTACAATACTGTACATCAATATAGGACCTATTTTCCTTTTTTAATCCTTTAAACTCTTGAATGAAATGGGATTTTTTTTTGTCTTGATTTTGTTCTCTGTGGAATGAATTGAGGTTATTAAATAGCAAGTATAAAGTTCTTCAATAGAAAGTCTTCAGGATCAAAATCCATCTCAAAGCTTCTGCCCTTTTGAAGTATCAGGGGCTGTCTGCTGCCTAAATTAAATGTCTTTGTTCTGCCATTGTTAAAAGATCTGCTGCAAAGCACTAAATACAGCATTATGTAAAAAGTATGAGGGCTAGGATTAATATCATGACTCATTAGGAACCCAGTCAATCAATCGTATCTCCAATTTATTCCACCAAACAGAAAATCCCTACACTTTAATGAAGGTTAATAAAGGTTTTTTTAACACAGAGATCTTGTTTTCAACCAATCCCCAAAACGTAGGATGGTTCGCCAACACTGGCTTAGAATTTAGAATAACAGAGCTGGAAGGGACCTTAGAGGTCTTCTAACCCAACCCCAAGCTCAAGCAGGAGACCCTATACCAGGGATGTGAAACTCAAGGCCTGGGGGCTGCATGTGGCCCACAGGGCCGCCCTGGAAACAGCAAACTGGTGCTTCTCCCAGCGAAAATGGAGCTAGGGAGGACAACGTGCGGCCCTCCTGAGCTTCGTTGCAGGAAGGAGAGTTGCAGGAGGCCATCACAGGTGAAAATGGAGCTCGGGAACCTGTTTTTGCTGGCAGAGTGCTTGGGCCACCACAAGCGCTCTTAATACAAGTAATGTCAAGCTGGCCATGCCCTCTGGCCACGCCCCTTGCCCCCCCCCTGAGATCAAACAATCTTGATGTGGCCATCAATGAATTCGAGTTTGATAGCCCTGCCCTATACCATTCTGAGCAAATGGCTGCCCAATCTTACTTGAAAACTCCCAGCGATGGAGCACCCACAACTCCTGGAGGCAAGCTATTCCACTGATTAATTGTTGGTAAAACTAATTAACAGATGATTTTTTCCTGATTCTTATACCAAATAGTATATTGTGAATGGAAGAAAAACCATAGAGTGAAGTTTGAATGGAGCTAGAAATGAAGATTTTATGCTCCATTAAAGAGTCCTCCCCCATGCCCCCCCATTCTACTTTTAAAATGCGGCATACATTAAAAACTGTTGCTGAAGTGAATAGAAAATGCCAAATGGCATTCTGACTACCACTCTTTTCAGACAAATTGAATATAACTTTGTAGCCTATCACAATTCCAGCATATATAAAACCCAAGCAGGGACCACATTCAGCATATCTCTGCCAAGATAAGAGATGATTCTTGCAGGATGTCTAATGAAGGAAAGTGCAATGATTTATTTATATAAGCAGCTGATGCATTTTGAGTGCAACAGAGCAAGCATCTCTTCTTATCTCCTAATAGACTTTGTCCTTTTTGTGAGTCCTGCCCAATACAATTCAATTCAACTGAATCCAATCCAATCCCATTCGATGTTATGATCTCCCAGTCCATCAGACAGCTTACAAAATAAAAGAAACTAGGTTTTAAAAACAGTTTAAAAAACACAAAACAGGCAACCAGAATAAAACAATCAGAACAAATAAGCAGTACAATTATGACAGGGACGTCACAAATATATTTATTTGGTAATATATTTGTTTGGTAATATATATTACCAAAAACAATAGTCCCAGGCTTGGGACACTGTCAAATGCCTTTTGAGTTCCCAGGAAAGTGGGATACTATTTTGGAAAGCAGAGGCAGCAAGACAAAAGACACACTTCCTTGGTCCCACAAGATGACAACATATAACTGAAGAGATACAGAATGAACTCACTCTGTCGGAACATATTGGGCAGGCAGAATAATGGCTTCCTAAGTGACAGCTTGTGGAATGGACACGATGCCAGGAAGGCACTTTGCACAAATGCCCAATAGCATGGGACAAATAAAATATAAATGAATGATATTTGGCATATGTGAAATAAAGATTGAGGAGCCCGGGCTGATTATGCTACTGAAGCTCATGGGGTACCTTTGGGCTACTAACTCTCTCTCAACCCAACCTCCCTCACAAGATTGTGGTGCAGAAAAAATGGGAGAGTATTATGTGCACTGCCTGGAACTGCTGAAGGTATGGTGCTATTTCAGAAAAAAAATAATCACATTTGATTTCCAGTGCTTTTTTTTTTTTAAGTTAAACAGTATGTTGCCTTTAAAACAAATGCTGAAAATATATTATATACATCTCATCGAAGTATACAAGCATTGAAGTGAATGAAAAATTCACCTCATGGATGGAATAGTTGTCTTTATAGTCTTATTCCGATGTCCTACAAATATATACGATTGCTAGGCCACCATTCCTGGCTTGATATTTGATGATGTGTTGGCTGAAGGAGATAGGAGTTGCAGTCCAACTCTGGGCAATCTGATTGTGGAATTTGCTATATTTTATATTAGTACTATCAGTATCAATTTTATACCATTCTTTGTCAAGTTAATACAAATAGCAGGTGGGCTTTAATGATTTTTTATTATATAGTGTATGGGGCTTATTGTTTTATATTTATATTCTATACAGTGTTTTTATTGTTTGTAAGCCACCTAGAGTTGCTCTGAGCAAGTGGGCGGCTATATAAATTTTCTAAATAAATAAATAGTGGATTTTTTTTTAAAAAAATGTAATCTTCCTCCTGCAGTCAACTATGTTTGAATTGGGCCACTATAATAATTTGTTTAATAAATAATAACAAATCACCTTTTCCCTTTTACCCTACACTTTTTCCTCTTCCTCATCTCATCTCCTGCTTTCCTATTGTTTTCTTTTTACTTTGCATTACTGTATTTTATATTTTGATCAACTAATAAAAAAAAATTGGAAAGAGAAAAACAGCTTCTGAGGCAGGAGAAATATGGGGGTGGGGTGGGGAATGCCAGCTCATCCCTGACCCTTCTCACCTTTGAAAAAGATAACAATAAAAAGTCTGCCATTTCCCGGGTGGAAGAAAGTATTAATTCCTATTTCACCCACGAGATTTTTTTTTCTTCCAAGGAAGAAAGAAAGAGGGAGGGAGGGAGAAGGAAGGAAAAGAAAGAGAGAGAGAGAAAAAAAAGAAAAAGAGAGAAAGAAAAGGAGAGAAGGAGGGAAGGAAGGGAGAGGGAAGGAGAGGGAGAGAGAGAGAAGAAAGGAAGGAAGGAAGGAGGGAGGGAGGGAGGGAGGGAGAAGGAAGGAAGGAAGGAAGAAAAGAAAGAAAGAAAGAAAGAAAGAAAGAAAGAAAGAAAGAAAGAAAGAAAGAAAGAAAGAAAGAAAGACTGTCTGACTCCCGGAAGGGGTAGGTTTGGCGCGTGCGAGTCCTGCAAAGCGCCCACATTTAAGTTCGCGGCGCGCGCGGCTCCCGTGGATGATCTTGCGAAGGGAAAAGCGGCGAGCACGCGAATTCCCGCGCCTGGCCGGGGGACACGTGATGATTGCCTTCAGACGGCCTTTGTGCCCGTATTGTCTCTACCGTGTCGCGTTAAGTTCTCTTTTGCCCGAGAAACAGAGCTGAATTGCCAGACTCCTACGGTAGAACCAGTAAGAGTCATGGTAAATTGTGGTAAGGAAGGTTAGGAAGCCATTTCCTCAGTGGGTTGAAAAACTAACTTCTCATGTGTTCCTCCCTTGTCTCCCTTCTCCTCCAGGTCCTGTATAGAGAAAAATACGTACGGGACTGTACACGTTTATGAAACGGAGTGTGTCATAAGCTGTTTGCTGGCATCGTTATTATTATTATTTTTATTAATAGGAGTATCCTTTTGAAAACGGTTTTTTAAAAGTTATTGCTTCTGTGCTTCGTTTAATTCAGAGTAAGATACGATGACTCTGGTTGGCCAGGACGTGGACTAGAAGACCTCCCAAGGTCCCCCCCCCCAAGTCTGTTATTCTATTTCTATTCACACATTTTCTGTTAGACTTCTGTGCTTTTAACAGATGTCAATGCCTAGATACAAGTTGGCACTGCATTATTAGGCAGTAAAGTTGTGGGCATTATATCGATTTTGATTTAAAAGTGAAAAAGGTATTTGAGGTTTGGGATTTATTCTAACCACTCTGAATTAAGATCCTGGGTGTGACACAAGGATAGCCTGAAATTTCTCTGCTTTATGCATTTTTTTTTAAGTTTCAGAAATAACTCAGTTACTGAATATGTGATTGACTTTTCACACATTTAAAATGGTCTATAAAGCTTCTAAAAGTTATTTTAATCCATCCTTTTATTATCAATCTCATGATAATAGATTTCAGAAAGCACCTGTGACAACATATAGTTCATCGTGGAATTGAGAGTATCTGGAAACCTGTCCATAGTGCCTTTTTTCACAATATTTTTATGCAGTCTATGTGTCATTTGTCATTTGTTCTAGGAACAGGCAAACTTCAGTGCTTTATAGGATTTATCTTCCTCTCTTTTATTTTTTGCCACACTGCCAAGACCCAGTAATTAAAACCAAACGCAAGGGAAAGTATGAATTAGAGTGTGAATTGAGAATATGAATTAAAAATAAGAGTATGAATAGAAGAATTATGAGTCTAGCCTAGGAATTTTTTGAAGGTGTACTTGCGCTATTGTACGTGGAAGTTGCCATCACTGCATGCAATTTTCCACTCCAAAAATAATAAATCTGCTTAATGTCGTAACTATAATTTGTTATACATTCACTATGAGAAATCTTGATAGCTTTCCATGTAGCATCCTTTTTTTTCTTTAGTGCATTTTTTTGGCTACTTTTCACTTCCAGCTGAACTTGCTAATGGAATGATAGGAAGCTAAATGCGTCAGTTCTTGTGCTGATTTTCAGTGCTGAGTGCCATTACGACAATCCTTGCATTATTTTTACTTTTAAAAGGCAACATGGCAGACTGTCGCTGTTACAGATACTCTAAAAGAGCTGAATTTGACAAGAAAGTGTAGATATTGTTATAAGCATTCAAGATAAAAAAAAAAACCAGCATTTAGGGATGCTGTTACTGAGTGCATGCTATTGCAATCTGTAGCAATTTTTTTTTCCTGAATGTCTGTGAATCAGAAATGCTATCCTGCATGTAATCTCCTTTGGGCAAGTGATCATCCCTCAGCATCATCTCCCTTGGATCATTTTGATGTTAAATTCTACTGACGCTCTACTGACTTTCTACTGACGCTCAGATACAAATGTAAATAATAACTTGTATGATAATGCCAGGCAGCATCTTACATAAAGTATTAGCAGCTATCACTGTTAAAGAGAATTTAATGAGTTTCAATCTCCCGGGCCAGATTAACTACATTCTGTGATAACAGTACAAACTTAATAATGAAAACTCATTTATTTCACCTAGCCAGGCTGGCTTGATTGTGGGCCGAAATTATTTAATTACCTTTTAAACTGTTTTTTAAATTTTGTATGCTCTGTTTTATCTCAGCTGTTCACCGCCCTGAGTCCTGCTGGAGAAGGGCGGTATACAAATCAAATAAAATGAAATGAAAATGAAAATAATAGTCTTGCTAAAACTTTGTTTTTTTTTTCCTTTCAATAATTTTTTGAGAAGTGGAGGAAGTAAAACATTCTCTCTCTATTTAAAAAAGGGAGAAAGGGACAATCTGGGGATTTGCAGACTAATCAGTCTGACATGTCTGAAAAAATTATAGTACAGACTCAAAGAGAGATCTTTACGCACCTTGAAAACAGTGCAGTAATTGTCCACAACCTGGATATGGATGAAACACTGAAATTTAGAAAATTGCACAGAATAACTTCTTAGACAACATAAAGAAGAATCTTGCCATGATATACTTGTAAAATTTACATATTTCAAGACAAAATAGGCAATACTGGAATTTAAAACCTGAAAATATAATTAATTTTTTAATCAAATGTACCTCCAGGCATACTCAAGAAAAGGAAAAATATGAGCTTTTACTATTGTTTAGTGGTTAAGGTACTGGTCTATAAACCAGGAGACTGAGTTCTAGGCCTCCCTTAGGCATGGAAGCCATCAAGGTGACTCTGGGCCAGTCACTCTCTCTCACCCAATTTACGTGACAGGATTATTGTGGGGAAAATAGGAGAAGGAAAGAATTAATTATGCTTGCCACCTTGAGTTATTTATAAAAATAATAATGGGAGGATATAAAGAAATATCTTCTACTAGTTAGACTACTTCATTTTATATAGAGTCTTTATGGATGCTGGCAGAATGTTTCTGAACTGCATTGAATATGTCACAATTCTTTTCCTTATTTATATTATGGAAATATAAACATCCTAGGAAGAGAGTTTATTTATTATTCTTCAGTTCATAAAATGTACCCAATAATAGAGATGAGTAGGATTTTTAATTCATTGTTAACTAACCTTATAGATGTAAAATTGGAAGCTCCTACCATGCAGGTTATAATCCAATAACTTTAAGACTAAATACAGAAATTTCCAAATTGAAAAAAGGAGATTAATGAACTTTTATTATCACAAGAGGGTATTAGATTGAAATACCGGTATCATCAGGAACTGAAGAGTTTATATCAGTTTAAACCTTTAATGTTTTCTTTACCCACTGGATGGAATGCCAACAAATAAAAAAACAAATGAGAAACAGTATAGGATACATTGCTGAATGAACAGAAACAATTAGAAAACCAATTTTAGATTTAGTACAAAGGATAAAAACAATCAATAAAATTGATTGCTTGTTAATGCAAGTAAACAAGACTTACAGGAAACTGAATTTATTAAGCTGAAATATTTTTAGAACGGCAATCTCAAATAAATTGTTGGCCTAGTAAATGCATAAGGAAAAAAACCCAAATGAACTATTATTTCTATTTTGATAGAACCAAATATATTTCTACATATGATCAAAGAAATGATGAAACAATTTATTAATTATTATTCCAGATTTGATAATAAACAGACATTTTATCTAGACATATTGAAGAATATTAAATCAAACCTTACTTACAAAATGTAGAAGACAACAAAAATAAGTCTTCATTCATTCATTCTTTCATTCAATTTCCTTAATGTATAAATGAAAAACTAAAGCAATAAATATCAACTAAAGAAATCGAAATTAATGGAAAGCTACAGGATGATACTTAAGTTGGTAATAATACTTGTAAAAAATACTGGAATAATAATTGGTTTTCAACTGAATAACAAGACAGCAAAGTGTGATATATATCACTATCGCAGACATATATATGGCTGCAAAAAAACACAAATTCGGTTTTGCCTCAACAGAAGTTATTTATTCTCTATTGCTCCAAAATATAAGACTTGGAATAATGGATTCAGGTTACAAGTCAGCAGATTCTGATTGAATGTTAGAAGAAATTTCCTAATACTGTAATGACAGGATAACTAATTATGCAGAGAAGTACTGGACAGCCCTTAACTGAATGTATTCAAGCCAATTCTGTTGAACTTCGAAATCATTAACTGAGATTTCTGCACAGGCTTGGACACGTTAGGCTAAGAACCTCCTTTTAAACATATGCTTTTGTGATAGACATAGAAAAATGAATATAGCATTTATAACAAGCCTCATATATTTCTTTATCTTTCTTGTAACAGACAAGCCTAAAAGATGAATCTGAATCTTTGGAATACCAAAGATATATTTATGACTCCAACAAAAATGGGGTAAGAAGCTTATTGCTGCCGTTGTTATTGATTTGTATTACTTTATAATGTTCAACATCATGACTTTCAAACCATGTCTTTTTAAGTTGAAAGCAAGATGTGGTCAGTAATACTCACAATTTGTTCAGCGTGGACCTTGTGTCAAATTCTTGTTAAAAGTAATCTTAAATGGAGAAGAATAGGACTGGATAGACTGCAGGGATGTCAAACTGGCAGGGTGTGGGCCGGATGCGTCACACACAGGCCATGCCCACCCCAGCTCCGTGAAGGGAAAAAACATCGTAAAATATCACATAACAGCAACATGACACCGTGATTTTGACACCCGTGGGATAGAGTTCATACATATAGCCCATTTCTACAAATTAAACTGTGATTTCACTGTAATGCCCTGATTGAGTTTTTGACGCATGCAATACATTGTAGTTTAAGATTTGGACAAATAGTTGCTCTCTTTTCTTTTTTTTTCAGTTTTAAAAAGTTTTATTTCAAATTGTTGCTCTCTTAAGTAGTTCACTCACTTGACTAATATAATGACTAAGGTTTACTCGAACAATTAGAATTGGTTTAAAAGATCGGCCTAAAGCAGTGGTGTCACATTCAATTTCATTGAGGGGCGAATCAGGACTGTGATTGACCTCGGGGGGCTGGCCAGGCATGGCCGACTGGGTAGCTGTGGCCAGCTTGATGCCACTCAGTGGGCGTGGCCGAGTGGGTGGGCATGGCCATCTTGACGCCACTCCCCAAACTGATGGCATGTTTCCTCTTTGCATTGGGTAGACCGGGCCATAGCAACACGGATAGACTGCCGCGTTGCCAAAGCAATGCGGGCTGGCCCCTTTCATTTTCTAGGATGGCCCCACAGGCCAGATCCGACCACATCCCTGGCCGATCTGGCCCGTGGGCCTTAAATTTGACACCCCTGGCCTAAAGTCTATCTAATCTAGCTTCTTGTTTCTGACAAAAGATAGTTGGATGCCTACCCATAACCAGAGAACTGAAGTAATAGGCATTTTTATCTTCCATAGTTCATATTGATAGGAATCTGGTACAGTACTCTTTATTTGACAGTTCTGTTTAGGTGCTTGCAATGACTAGTATTCCCAAAAATATGCATGTATCTATTTGGGACTAAAGGAATTTCAAATCAGGAAAGTTACTGCTTAGTCATCCATGAATATGTCAGTAGAGTTGCTTAAGTGCTATTTATTTTATACATATGTTATATATTTTGAACATTCTTAAATGCATATTTAATTGCTTTGAAATTTTTATTTTGTTCTGTTAACTGCCTTGGGCACTACTTTTGGCTGGAAAGGCACAGTGGAGAATTAAATAGATAACATAAGCTTTTCTCTGATATTACACTCAAGAGAACAGTAATTTGTTCATGTTCTGTTACTGTTTTCATGAGATCTGAATAATTCCCAATGATCAAAACAGCATACTATCCTTGCTTTTGGAATAGGAAATCATAGTGAATTTACATCAAAAGCATTTCTTTGGTTTATTTTCAAATTTAAAAACAAAGGATACAACACATGATGATGTATTTTGAAGCCAATAGGTTTATAAATTAATGAAATCTGTAATATGAATTTATAGAGTTGATGCTGCTAGTATTTCTTGTGATGTACAGATATATCCACTATATTTGAGAGAAAATATAGTTTGCTATTTTTTTTTCTGCAAGTATCAGCCTTCTTCAGATTGGAATATTGGTCTGATGTTTACTGGAGGAGAAATATTAAAATATGCATGTTATTGTTTGACTGCCAGATTAAATTTCTGGAGGCTTTGTAAGCATTTTATTGCTGTGATTTCTCTTGTGCTTTTTTATAGTACAGAATTTATTATGTGAAAAGGCCTCTTCAGTGTTGATGAAGACCGCACTGAAATGAATAATGATGCTCAAAATATAATTTACTCATTATACATCAGTATAGGATATTTTACACGCTTATGAGCTTGGGTATGAGTTTCTGATTAGACTTTATTTCTTTATCAAATCACATTGAAATAGATCTTGCATCTAAGTAGTAGCAAGAACAGACATATTTTTCCCTGCAGATTAACCAGAACAAAATAATGGCAAAGGATTTTTTAAAAAGACATGACAGACAAGGAGAGAAAGAAAATAGAACATCCTATAATCAGAATAATCAGTATGCTAATTGCAATGCAGTTAAGTGAGGAATAGGGCCAACCAATCATGTGCTATCATATTAGTAAAACTTGTGAAAATCTACCAATGTAGGTACCCAAATCCCTGCTCTCTTGCTTTGCTGTGATGATGGTAAAAGGAGAAAATTAAAGCAAGAAAATAATTATAAGCAATGCAAAGAAGGCAAATTAATAGAATTTGTAAAGCAGAAGGTGTTAACATGGAAATAATGCAATTAATATTTCTGACATGATTTCTATTGAAATAATCACATGCTGCTTGATAGTGTTATGATTTAGGATTAGGAGTTTGGATTTTTTCTAATAAAGCTCTGGTGTTAAGCTTATCAGATTCATATCCAAATCACTTCCAGTATTACAGTTCTTTCTCAGTGCAAATAAGGAGCACATTAGCTCAAGAAAATTCATAAAGAAAATCTCAAAGGGAGGAAAGGATTATCCTTTTTGAAGATAGCACTGAAGTTCTTTCTTTAGGAATGTGAGATACATTTGATTTTCCAACTAATGATACAGAGTCCTGGAGAAATAAAAGGTCTAGAATGGCTACTCTTTTTGGTGTTGATCATCTCGTGCCAGCTTAATTTTGATGCCTTTATGTAGTTTGCATATTTTCCGGGAAGTTACAGTGAATTGTAGCAGCCGAGTTAAAATATCGGAATTGTTTGTGCTTGTTGAACCAGGCAGCAATGTGACACAGTATATTCAGTTTGGATGTACAGTTCAGATTTTGTCGCAGTGTGTACCATGGATAAATCTATCTGACGGCAAAGATTAACCTCTCACAGACATGCTGACACGATCCGTTTCAGGGCTGGGAAACTGTCCAGAGAATGCAAATAAAATTTAAAAAATTAAATTAAAAATGGGTAGAGATTATAATGTTTGAGCTGTTGGTGAAGCCAGGCCAAGCATATGCCTTCTCTACAAGCAAATTTCCCCTATCCTTACACCCAAGGAAAAAATGTTTAAAAAAAAACACAACACTATTGAGACTAATTAAGTAAATAATATATTTTAATATTGGGATGTTTTTTTTTTTTTACAAGGAGAGAATTTGGCCCTAGTTTTGAGCTAAATGCATAATCTGAGGCATCAGATTGTCTCTACATATTCTGAATGCTAAATACTTTATTTATTCATTAAATTTATGTGCTGCCCATCTCATGGGAGGTGATTCTAGGCAGCTTACACATTTTAAAATAAATAAAAATAAACAATAAATACTGTTAAAAGTTGGGAAGTAGTGGAACATGGAGCATGCAGGAAAAGATGGGGTCTTTCCTAATCCAATAGCTACCTCCAGAGTGGTGCGCCTCCATTGGTGCCCCAGGCCCCAGGCCAGCTGGCAGATCTGGGTCTTACAGAAGGTCAGAAGGGTGGGTGTGGATCTCACCTTGGTGGGTACAGTGTTCCAAAGAGCAGGAGTCTTGGCAGAATAGACTCTTCTCCTGGACCCCATCAACCGAAAATCCTTGACTGATGGGGTTCGCAGCATGCCTCCTCTGCCGGGATGGATGGGGCGAGCCAATCCTATTAGGATAAGGCAATAACTAAACATCAAGCCTTGATACAGCAAAGTAACCCCAAATCATAACATTTCCACTACCATGCTTTACAGTTGACATCAGGTTCTTGAGGTGAAATACTGTCTTTGGTTTTCACCAAATGTGTCTTCTGGTCCTGTGGCCAAATAACCCTATGTTTGCCTCATCTGTCCAGAACACATTGTTCTAAAATACTTTTCTTTGCCTAGATGTTCATGAAACAACTATCTGAAACCTCCACTTGTAGATACCCTGTTTCCCCCAAAGTAAGACATCCCCTGATAATAAGCCCAATTGGGCTTTTGAGTGCGTGGCAATAAGGCCAAGCACTTATTTCAGGGTTCAAAAAAATATAAGACAGGGTCTTATTTTTAGGGAAACATGGTAGTCTTCCATATAGTAGAATGATTGATGTTCATTTATTTGGCAATCTTTGTAAGTCCCTTTTAGGCATCTCTGATTTTTTTTTCTGAAGGCCTCTGAGAGCTTTTTCAATCTAGGCATGATGATAGCGCACACTTCAACAACAAAGAGCAAATCAAAATAAATTTCTGAGGTTTCAGCAAGGCAGGTTCCAACCAGATCCTCTCTAATGATATTCTAATCATTTGCACCTAATAAGATGCACCTGATTCTAATTTTAGGTACTTGAGGTAATGGTAGGGGTGTACTTATTTTTTCCACGTGTAAAATTTGCTTTTATGTTTATTTAAATTAAAATGCGCTACACAGAGCATTATATTTTATCCGTTTTATCAATCACTATTGTTGACACGCAGATCAAATATCTGTATGTATCATACCGTTTTGAGTATATGTGACCCATGCTATAAATCAAAGCAGTACTAGGAAACATTTTGATGTGAAATTATTGCAGATGTTCCTCTGCATGGTTTCCTATTTTAAAAGGAATGTTTTGTCATTAGTTTGTCATTAGTATAGGACAGAAGAAAAGTATATTGTGGTAGGTGGTATTCATTTGCTGTTTAGAGATGTAATTTGCGCACAGCATAGGGCTTTATCTGCATCTGGTATATGGCTGAATTCATACTCTGATTTTATTATATTTATAGAAACATTTGCATATTTATTACATTTCCTTAATCATTTGCTTCCCAATCATTTTTCTGATATGCCAGTACTTCTAATCCAGTATGCTCAGGTTTCCTATAAATAGCAATGGAAAAAAAGAGAAGGGTACGTTTTGTTGGAATAGAGCTGCTGATATCAAATAAACATGGCAGTGTTTGGCTTGTACCCAAGTACTACCTGAAAGATTCTGAAAAATAAAAACAACTGGCATATAAGATGGCAGACATAAAAAAGGAACTGCTTAAACATTACATGAATTGTGAGGTCAAATCAGAATTTCATCCCTGCAAACTCTATGGGATTTCCAATGAGGAAGAATACCAGTCCAAACTGAGATTTTTAGGTAAATGCAAAGAGTTTATGGAGTGAAGATATTGGGTGTAGGCCAATTATTTTTTATTAGTTCTATATTTTAGATTATAAGGCATGAAGATTGTTTCACAATTTCAGCTTCTTAGTGAAAATATGTTAGGATAGCTAAATAGTAAATGTATTTTTATTAAAGAGTTTGGAGTAAATTTAGGAATCACAATAAAAGTAGTCCTCAATTTACGACCACAATTGAGACCAACATTTCTTTTGCTAAGTGAAACATTTGTTAAGTGAATTTTGTCCCATTTTACGACCTTTCTTGCCAGTTGTTGAATCACTACAGTTGTTAAGTTAGTAAGACAGTTGTTAAGTGAAGGTGGCTTCCCCATTGACTTTGCTTGTCGGTAGGTCACAAAAGGTGATCATATGACTTCAAGACACTGCAACCATCATAAATATGAGTTAGTTGCCAAATGTCTGAATTTTGATCACATGACTATGGGACGATGCTGCTGTCAGGTCAAGATGCATTTATCCTAGTGCTGACAGCTGCATTGGTCGTAAGTGCCATAAGTAACTTTTTTCAGTGTTGTTGTAACTTTGAATGGTCAGTAAATAAGCTGTTGTATGTTGAGGATAATCCATAGAGAAAAAAGAAATTAATGTATATTATTTGTTTACTAAGAGGGAACTTTTTTCATACCTCTCTGTTTAGCTAACTGTGGATTAGCACAATAACTTATAAATGTATGATTTACATTTTGAGGTATTCCTCTTTCTTTTTTCAGGTCCCATAAATCATCTGCCTGGACCAGCGCTCCCAACGAACATAACAGTATGAGTGATTCTCAGTTCCTTTTTGGCTCCCAGTTTTGCCCAGAGAATTCACAGTGTGCATCAGCTTCAGTTGAATTTAGTATCCCACAAAGGCAGGACAAAGGTTCACAACAGAATTCTCAGGAAGTGAGTCCAATGTATAGTGTATGCTGGATCATATAAGAACTAGGATGATGTATTAGAGCAACTTTTGGTTTAATCAAGTAGGATGCTATAGTATAACTTTCATGTTACCCAAAATTTCTGACAAATTTCATGCAGTTTGTAATGGAAGTGACAAGATTCCTCTGTTTTTCAATACAAACCAATACTTTTAAATAGACAATGAGGGGATTTGCCATTGTGCTGTTTTTAGGAACTTTACCAGTTTTCCAGAATTTCTTGAAGAAAATATATAAGATTTGGGTAGTCTACCAACTGCCTTCTTTAGAATTCTAGGATACATTTAATTTAGCCTTGGGTATTAGTTACCAAAAGAACCTTCTGATTGAATGGAGTTGTAAATATTTTTGGAAAAAAAATACAATTCTATCTAGTGCAACCTACTCATAAAAGTATATTTAGCAGTGACTGAATGCCACTGATTTGTCCTTTTCATAATTTATGTTAAACACTCACATTTTTCATTTTTCCTGATAAAAACAGAACGATATCAGTATTTTTGCCAAATACCAGTCTAAACCACAGCTCTTTGGAAAAGAGGAGAAGGAAAATGTCTCCCTTAACAATTTTGCTGGAAGATTCAAAGGAGTCATGGAACAATTTGAAGAAAATAAGAAAAAGATTAAGGAAAAATATGATAAGTATGCAAACATTTCCGCAAGCTGGGAAATTAATTTTTCCTCCTATTAAAAATAATAATACTGTACAACTATATAAGCTCTACAAGAAATAATTAATGTTACTTCCTTGCAGTATTGTGTGTATGTTTGTTCTTATATTTGATATCATCCCTCCTTTTCTATTCAGGTGAGTATCTAGGTCCACTAAGAAAATTTTAAAAACAGAACAAAAGTCTATAAAGTTAAAACAAGAGTCTATAAAATTAAAAATAAATCCACCTGTTGTCCCAAAAGTGCTTTTCCAAAAGGAAACTGGACTTTCTTGGGTTTTTTTCCTTGCAAACATTTCACTTTTCAGTCAAGAAGCTTCTTCAGTTCTAACTAAATGATGGGAATGGAAGGATTTAAATTCTTTGCAGTCATCTGGTCATTGGCAGTTGAGGCCACTTGGGGATTAATCTGCATTCTCCGAGTCACCTGAGCCAGAGTGTAAACGAATGTGGAACCTTTTTGGGACTGCTGAAAGGACAGTGTTATAAACAGGAGACAGGTGATAGGTCATATCCCTCCCCCTCTACTGAGAGAGGGCTGTTCAATAGAACAATTAGAACTGAAGAAGCTTCTTGGATGACAAGCAAACAATTTTAAGGAAAAAAAGTCCAGTTGCCTTTTGAAAAAGCACCTTTGGGACAACCATGATCTGGATGACAGAGAATATCTTAGACTTTAACCCACCTGTTGGAAGAGATATTCAGGTAGTCTTCACTTACCAACCACAATAGGGATTGGCAATTCCATCGCTAAGCAGTGTGGTTGTTAAGCTTGATATCACTTGCCCATGCTGATTTATGACATCTGTTGCGGCTGCAGTTGTTAAGTGAAGCACTGCAGGTGGTTAAGTGCAATTTGTGACCTGCTAGACTCATTTGCTTTCAGAAGCTGCCTCTGAAGATTGCAAACGGCAATTGTGTGATCAGGGGAACACTGCAAAGACTGCCACTTTGAGGAGCAGTCGTAAGTCTTGTGTTTCATCAGCATTGTAACTTTGAACAGTCACTAAACAAGTGTTCGGTAAGCAAGGATCACCTGTACAGTTTTCAAAGTGCAGAGTGAGGGGGCCAAGATCAGCTCTCAGATTCCAGGGGATGTATTGCAGTGTGGAAGAAGATACCCTTCTGCCTGCCAAATTCTACGAAACAGGGTACATCTTCAACCCGGGTATTTTATGTCACCTGAATTTGGATGAGAAATTGTCCAATAGGAAAGTCCACATTGAAGTAGCCTTTATACTTTATATAGCCCTTATTCGATATATCTATATAGAGAATGACAGCATCTTGCAACAATGGCTGTAATTATTTGAAGAAGGGCTTGCATCCTGTGATTTTATCCTTACTGTCTGCAAAAAAAGAAAAATTAAATGGAAGAGGAATGGTGTCTTTGCAACCAGGAGCTTCATTTCTGTTGGCTGGTGTGTGTATATATGTATGTATGTGCTGCCTCCTCAGGCCTCTTTCTGGCTGCTGCCCTTGTCTTAAGGAGGGAGGCGAGCACTGCTCGGCACTCCTCTTCTGACATCTCAGCCACTTGCCTCTCCAGGCTTTCATCTTGTCCTTTTGCCCCCTCGTCGTCAGTGCTGAAGAAGCCTTCTCCAGCATCGCTTGGCTCAGCCCCTGGGATCTCTTGCTGCATCTGGGTGGCCTCTGGCTGCCAGATTGTAGCTGGATGGAAATCCCCTTTGATGTTTTCCATCAAGCGATTCAGACTGGGGCTGATGTGAAGTTCTCCTCCGTTGAAGGCCTCTGGTCACAACAGGGGAGCTTCTTTCACAGGTTATTTTGGAGGGCATCTTGCCTATTCAACAGCTCCTGGAGTGGAGTTCTGCTACCATTCCCTCTGCTACCATTCTGTGGAGTTGGGATCGTAGAAACACCCAGGAGCATAGAAGAGTTCAGAGGCAGATGCATAAATAAATGTCTTAAATGTATTTATTCATATGATAAATCATATTAACTATGTACAACAGAAATCAAGTCTCATGAGGAACAAACATGAAAAGAGAGAGATGGAGAGAGCAAGGTGGAAAAGGTTGGAGGGGGTTTTATACTCAGGGTAAGCCCCTCCTTTCCACATAGGGGTGGAGACTCTCTCTGCCTCCACTGGTGTCTATATGATACATGTGCCAATGGCTTGCAAATACTTGACAGTTTGTATGTATGTATGTATTTACATAAACTATCAAATACATATCCATGCATTGAGAATGTGCTCTAGGATTGGTAGTAAGTTGGGAGAGGAACACATATTGAATGATGTCTGTTCTTTTTTATTGGTCATTGCTTGTTTCATTGTATACCATGCGTGTTTTCAATGTTTTCAGATCTGTAGACATTAGAAAGACTGAGGGTCAAATTTAAACTTCTTTCTGAGGAATTGGAGATGGGAAATGCGTATGTGAAAATACTTGTAAATACAGTACCAGTATATGCATAATATAGAGTTGTATATGAGCTCACTGGTTCCATTTATCTCTTCTTGTTAAATTCTGCATTTAATTAATTTGGCTGGTTAAAATAATAATTTATACAACTGCTGGCATCTCTGCTTTAGTGCTAGCCATCTGCCAGCATTTCAGAAAGACCCATCAGCTTGGGATTCTTACTAATGGGATTTATTTGGCTGTAAAAATGAATGTTTCATAAATATTTTAATACGGAATTAAGGCATTTCCAACCCACATATTATTGTTTATTGCACAATCTCGTGAGATTCTACTAGTCTTTCCTATTCATTTTCTTCTGATTAATGTACGTACGAAGTTTGTAATTTTCCAATATGTCTCTTTCAGTGACCTTTTAAATGCTTTTGTTTTGAACACCAAAGAGAGTCTTCAAAAGGTAAGGGAAAGTTTGATTGTCAGAAGTTAAAAATAAGGGTGGGAAAGTTGTACTACATTTTGATATTTTGTCTTTCTTACTACTATGTGATAAAATACAATTGCAACTTCTCTATTGATTTAGCTGAAAACTTTGAATACTCAGAACATATGATAAAAGAAGTGAATACCCATCAGCCAACATTATTAATTTATTTTTCAGTTGCAATCCTCTTTCAATATGTTAGAAGAAACTCTGAAATCTGTTTTGAATGATTTGGGAAATATTTCTAAGACAAGTAAGTATGTGGAATATTTTTGTATCCAATGGAGAATAAAATCAAATGAGTCACTGTACTGACCCATTCCATTCTGGGAATATTTCCTGTTGATATGGTTTGCCCTGGATAATCTATATCTATATCTATCTATATCTATGGTATATCTATATCTGTCTAGGTTTGTGTGTGTGTGTGTGTGTGTGTGCCTGCCTGCCTGCCTGCTCTTCCTATATCCCCCACAACAACAACAACCCTGTGAGGTGGGGTGGATGGGAGAGAGTGACTGGCCCAATATCACCCAGCCAGCTTTTATGCCTAAACCGGAACTAGAACTCATAGTCTCCCAGTTTCTAGCTTGGTGCCTTCACCACTAAAGAAGATTGCTGAAAAATTCCTGAAAGACTGGGCAAGCAATATCCATTGGTCTTGATGCCTGTATACCATATCCCAAATAACACATAGCCTACCTTAAATAATAGTTGATGGATGAAGCATTGAAAAAGACCTATTTTGATACTTGCTTATGTTTCTCAGCTTCCCAAACATATCTTGCTGGTCATTGTGTGATACAAAATGCTGGACCTCTTGCCTGATCTAGCAAGACTGTACTTGTAGTCTTATCAGAAGAATGCTATGTAGCTATAAGAAAGAAGGTCTTATGAGCTGTGATTTTCCAATCAAAAATGTCTAAATTAAAAAGGAGTGAGTGACATCTTATTTTCGGTGAGAGGTTGTTTGTTTTCCTATGTTTAGGCCATATGAATAAAATTTATTCTGTCATGTTTGGGTTGCTACCTCATTTATTGGTAATATTAATATTATATTTTAACACATTTGAATATTGGTTATTATGATGAAGGCCAATATTACAGAAACAACACAAGACACTAAGCAGTAGAACAAGTACAGTATTTCAAAGATAATCAAAGTAGGATGTGCAAGGACGATGAACATATCTGAAATACTAAGGAAGGAGAATTTGGAGATATATCATAGCTTTTATATAGCTATATTTACTCAACATGTACTACCTTGAAAGTGCAGTTCTTTGTTTTCTCCTGAACACTCACACAGCTATAAAACACTTGGCAAAGAAAACGTTCTGTTTAGATAGTAAATATACTAAAAGTGATTCACTGTAAAAGTCCTGCATCCTTCACTTGGCCATCTGGAATTCTTCCTACGCTTCCTCCTCATTCCTTCTCTCCCCCCCATCCCCCCAGTAGTTATCTTGGAACAAATCCCAGTCTTCTTTTTAGTCCTCCCAAGTTCTGGAAAAGCACACTTGACATTTACCAGTAGCACAAATCACATAGCAGAATGTTATATGCCTAACAAAAATGAATCCACCACTTTCAATATTTCAAAGCACTCTCCATCCACATTGATTTGTCTCTGTAAGACTGCTAATAAATATGCTTTTTGACTTGGTACACAGTGATGATTAAATATCTTCCTACCATCCAAATAACAAAGATGGAGACGTGGAAAGATACTGTGTTCTCTTTAAAAGCCCAATGTCTTGCTTTCTGGTTGTAGTTTGTGTTTTCCTCCAACATATTTAAGAATGTAACTGTTCCTTGTAAAAAAAAAAAATGGGAGAAACTCTTTATATTCATTTATATTGACCAGTAGAAAAGCAGCAATGATATATTGGATTTCACAGATGCCATAAGATGGGTAATGTCCAAGTCCCTAAATGCTATGAATAGAACTTTTCTGTTTTGAGATTATAACCTCCTATAAAGAAGGCAACAATTTAGCTTCTGATTTAAAGTTGTTTGGGGAAAACAGATATGCCTTCATAGCTAAACAAGTTCTGCTATCTATTTTTGGCTCCGTGTTTGTGCAGTTCTTCAGCGATTGAATAATTGCATAGACATGCACCATTGATGCAGCACAGTAGGAACAGTGTTATAATAAAGGCTTCAGAAGACATTTAAGCACTCCATGCTGCTGCGCAAAGATGTCTATTCACTGTCAGAGTTTATGGCATCGTTTTATAGATCGCTTAATCAATCTTTTTTTTAAAAAAAACAACTCATTTTTTTCATGGCCATAAAAACATCATAAATATATATATAGATCCACTTAGTTATTTAAACTAATTGTAGCAGGGCAAAAGAATGGAAGTCTCATAGATTTTCTCACAGAAGTCTTATGGATCTTCAGATCCTGGCCCATCGTCCCTGGGGTAGTAGCTTGTATTCTTATTGTCATCACTTCTTGTCCAAGGGTTACCTTGGAATTGGAATTGGGTGGCTTACACATTCAAATAAATACATAAATAAATACTTCTAATTTCTCCTAAGGGACGTGGTGGCTTAGTGGCTAAGACACTGAGCTTGTTGATCAAAAGGTCAGCAGTTCAGCGGTTCGAATCCCTAGTGCCACATAACAGGGTGAGCTCACCTTACTTGTCCCAGCTTCTGACAACCTAGCAGTTCGAAAGCACGTAAAAAATGCAAGTAGAAAAATAGGGATCACCTTTGATGGGAAGGTAACAGCGTTTGGCGTTTAGTCATGCCAGCCACATGACCACGGAGACGTCTTTGGACAGCGCTGGCTCTTCAGCTTTGAAACGGAGATGAGCACCGCCCTCTAGAGTCGGGAATGACTAACACATATGTGGGAGGGGAACCTTTACCTTTTCCTTAATTTCTCCTATATCTTCCTATGAGACAGGGTTCTTACAAATCATATTGGTTTTTTTCTGGCAAATTATGAGGTGGTAGACATAAACAAATAAATATGCTATAGGGCCACCTCCTGGCCTTGTGACCCTGAAGCATATAGCTATGAAAATTAGCCCTTCTTCCCCTCTTGTTTGGGAGACAGATCAATCTCACAAGAAATAAATAAAATCTAACTACATTTTTAAAAAGTATTTAAAACTCCCTTTTTAGCTTTTAAGTATTCACAACAAAAATATTCATTGGCAAAGGAGATAAGAAATACAGAGCTGTGCTAGACTTGATCTTGCAGCTGTCCAGGGCCAGCCCATAATACTTAGAAAAAACTCATTTGTGCCTTTTTTTCTGCCTTCTTTCTCTTCTACTGCTCTCATGGCACAGCTTTGTTTCCTACCTGAATAAAATAACAGTAAAACATGTATTTAAAAAATTTAACTTATGTAGCTAAGTTCAGTATGGAGAAACAGAAGGATTGCTAGTTAATCAGCTCAGATTCCCACCATGTATGTAAGTCTTATGATACCAGAGAGACACTGGTGCAATTTCAGACCAGGGCCACCTGTATATGTGAAAGGGGCTGGAATTAATTCACTAGTGCATCAAAAATCATTGGTCTTCTTTATGCTGATTGGCACTTCTTCAGTATTTCAATTTATCAGAATCCTTAATGGAGATTTTTGAGACTGAACTTACACCAAAGCAACTGCTGTACCATTTACCTGGACCTCTATCACTGTACTAGAATATCTTTCTTGGCATCATGGTGTTGGGATATCATATTTCTGTTGGCCCAAGATAGGAAGACTATGCTTTTATGTTAAACACAGCTAATTTTTGTGTTATTCATGAATGTTTTGCTAAGAATGAACAATGGGCAACTAAACAGGACTATTGAAACTTTTTTTAGAACATTATACAATGTTCCCAAACTGCATAATGCCAAAGCACATGCATTTTCTCCACTGCTTTGAAAGTATTTTCTGAAAAACTGATTTCCTACTGGATTACATTGCATGAAAATTTTCTTAGAATGTCAACTAAAAAAAAAAATTAAGATTCCCATTAAAGGAAAAAAAAATTAAAAAATGAGACCTGGGATTGAGATACAGTAATTTCAGAAAATGGATGCATTTTGTATAAATATTATTAGAAGCCAGACTAAAAGCATCAATGCTTTCCCTGCTGCTTAAACTAATAAACTCAAAACAAATCGTATGAGCTATTAGTAAAGGATCAGTCACTCAGCAGTAGTCATTTTAGGGTAGAAAGAAAAATAATAATCCTGTTTTCAGTTGTAGGCTTGTGCAATAATGTAATATCCATTAATAACAATTGTAGATGAAAAACATTTTATTCAAGGAAATATTAAATGTAATAGCTAGCCATTTATTTTGATGCAGCTTCTGCTTTTTCTGTAGCTTTTGAACAAGGTTAAATAAGATCAAGTAATATGTTCAGTAGCAGTTGCAACATCATTGATAGATCTAACTGCTTCAACATAAGATCTCCAAAACTAATAATGAAAAATGCTAACTTTGTAATAATTCAAAAGGTAGTTTTATTTACCTGTTCACATTCCGAAAGGGCAATAACCTTTTGAGAAATGTAATACATTCTGCTCAATTCATTGGATGAATTGTGCAATACTCTTAAAAGATACTTGGTGGCTATCTTGAAGGAATAAGTGACATTGTGTAAATACAAGATTGGGAAGAGCAACCTAGACATTTTGAAAAATAGTGGAAAAATTCAACAGCCCCATGAATACAAATGATTCAAATCAGGGGTGGTTCTACTTACCTTTACTACCGGTTTGCAATGGGGGCTCCCACATGCGTGCTCTTCTGTGCAAGCGCAGAAGCGTTTTGATGACATCAGGGTCAGTGGGCGGAGCCTCCCGCCGGTTTTACTACCAGTTCTATAGAACCAGTGCGAACCAGGGGCAACCCACCACTGATTCAAATGACTAAGAAAGGTATAGACTGTATTAAAATGCAAAATGGATAATATAATGGAAAATGAAAGGATCCCAAATTTAGCAGGTTCATGACAGGGTTGTTAGCACTAGATGTACACTTTTTGTGGGTGTGTGGGTGCGTTTTTCAAGTGATTTCAAGCCATTCCTAACCCAAAGCTCAAGGTAATACTAATTCTGAATGAATTAATCCTTCTATTCTCAGATAAGCCTATTATGTTAGGCAGGTTAGAAATACTGATTAGTCAATTTCACCTACAACTGACTAGTAGCCTGATCCTAGATTTTCTTCTTCTACCAAGTCCTTATTGGTTTTATCTGGATTAAACTTCACAGGGTTAGTCTACCTTCAGTTATTCTTATTGCATATTTTTGTCTCGACTGTTACCAGAATAATCAGAGATAGCAATATCTAAGTTGAAGTTCTTGTAAATATGCTTGATGTATTTCATTATTTGAAACTAGAGAAGAAATAATTTAAAACCATTCTGGGAGTTTTTTTCTTCCAAGAGTTCCTTAATAAAAGACAATTATGTGTCAGGCTCCAAGTAATGTACCCGTTACAAATCGAACTCCGAGGCATTGCTTTTCCTCAAAGAACAAATTTATTTAGATACACCATCTTGGCACTAGTGGTGAAAAGCCAGTACTGAAGTTCCCGGGCTTTTCACCCCAATATAAGTTTCAGTTCCTCAAGTTTCCAAAACAATCCGTCACATTGTCCATCCAAGTTGAGAGCCGGTTGCTTGGCAACTTCTTTCCTCTTCCTTTGGTCAGTCAGCCATTGGAATGTGCATGACTCATCAGCTGGATATGCTGTTTTGACTTTTTTGTGAGATGGGCACCAAACAGATTTGATAAATAAATAAATAAAACCTCTTGACATACTCTACCCTAGGCCAGTGGTTCTCAACCTTACCAAATTTAGGATATGTGGACTTCAACCTCCCAAATTACCCAACCATCATGCTGTTCTTAGTGATTCTACCCAGGGATTCTTCATTCAACCCAAAGTTAGGAAAATAGAAGGCAAAGTATTTTTGAACTTCCTGTCCCAAATCCAGAATTATAGAATTTAGCAAACCATATGCTAATCCTATAATGAGAAATGCTGTTATAAAGCCAATGAAGCCAAATTTCTATATATGAAGAATTGTTTGGGAGAAAAGGGATATATGGGGAAAATAAGGGAAGGCAACAATCACACACAGAACTCAAAATACAATCCTTACACTCAGCCTAACTAAAATAAACTTCAATTTCAGCAGATTTTTTAAAGGATAATTGACTAGAGACCATTCACCTATTGTACAGGTTGAATTCACAGGCAAGCCCTTAGTTTTCTTTTTTCTCATTGCCTGTTCTATGAGCAATTCTCCCTAGTTTTGTAGCACATGTGAAAGGTCCACTTTGTGGAGAGACTGCTATTTTGTCCGTCAAGAACAATTTTCCATTTCAGATGTTCTAGATTTTGATAGGAAATCAGAAACAAGCCAGTTCCTAAACATATCTTCTTAACAACCCTTGATGGAATTATAAACGTGCAGTCTTTATAATTTTCATCAGCTCTTCATTTGAATAAATGGGAGAAAATTGGGGAAGTACTTGGGAAACCGAAACTGAATTCCATCTATTCAGTTCTCTCAGCATAGTCAATCCATTAAATGTCTTGGGGAACATTTGTGAGACCGTATCAGAACTAGGAGTCTGCCTCGCCCAATTATAATTGAACCACACATTTGAAAATGCAAACTCAGTAATTGAAATCAGAATTATCCTTTTCAGTTAGCTGCAACTGAAGCTATTCCCTTGGTAAATGTAGTATTGACAATGAATTTGTCTTCTGGTTGTAGCAAATTAGGATCTCAGAAAGCTAAAATGTGATACACAATGGAACATGAGTATCCATCATGCCCATTCAACTGTATTATTCCACAAACACAAGATTTTAGAAAACAAGCAAGTATCGAATGACAGTGGTTATCCACCAACTACCTTAGTCATTAGAGCAGATGTGAAATGATGAAGAAATTGGATTAAGTGCTCTGAATCATGATCATAGACATTATCCTGTGGTGGAATATAGTCTAGATTTTCAGCAAGGAGGAGTTGCATTCCAGAGGAGCAAAAGACAGCGAAGTTTAGATAGTTTGATTGGGAGGAAGATTGTCAAGACGGCTCCTCGCTAGGAGTTCTCCGAGTATATCTTTAATGATGCAAGGAATTTGCTTTAGTTTGACAAGATTGATGTCAGGCTTCAAAAAATCAAGAAAGACACACTGAGTTTTTTCAAAGCAGTTTCCTTTATTGTTCCTCTCCTATAGACAGAAATCTTGCCAAAGTAAAGCATAGTACTGGCATCATTAATGATATACTCGGAGAACTCCTAGGGAGAATCTGTCTTGTTCCCCTTCCAACCAAACTATCTAAACTTTGCTGTCTCTTGCTCTGCTGGAATGCGGTCCCTCCCTGCTAGAAATCTGAACTATTATTCTATCACATCTCCCTTGATCATTAACGCTATGACGAACTCTCCTCCTCTAGGTTTTGGATTGCAGGATGGATGGAGCTCAGTAACTGTAATGTGGAGGTATGGAGAGGTGTTTTGGGGGCTGCCAGGAATGGTCTTTTTGCCATTGGAATATTGTTTCTGTTTTTATTGCTGTTTTTGTGAGCTGCTCAGGGTTATTGAACATAAGCTGGGCAGCCATTTAAGATATTAAATAAATAGTATAAATACCTTATGGAAGACTCCAGAACCTCAGCTTGACAAATTTCAAAATATTACTCCAAGAAATTATTCTCCTTTGATTCTGTGTGGATGCCAGAATTTTCCAGGCTGAATATTCTGGAACATGCTTCAGGAGTGGAGCAGAACAGAAAGGCACAGTAAATTATGCATTTAAAGTCAGATATGTGGAAATTACCACAGCCTGTTTTCTCTATGTGTAATCCATAAATTGGATTTGAGAAAAAGCTATCAATTGGTTAGAATGAGTCTATTTTCATTGTGCGAAGCCATCACAAGAGTCTCATAGCTCTTTCAATATTAACATAATTATTATCACATTAGCTTTTGTGGATCTTTGTCTACTTCATCAAATCTGTGTGAGGTTTTTAACTACTCACAGTTGTGGAATCGGAACAGAAATGGAGAAATAAGGGTATAGAGGAAATAGGCAGAATTGGTTGAAGGATAAAATTATTTTGGATGTTGATTCTGAGTAGTAATAAAATAATAAAAAGTAATATTTCGAGAGGATTATCCTTACCAGATCATTGTAGCAAAAATAACTTCACAGACCAAATTAAAATAACAACATATAGTTCTTAAAGTATTTTAGCTAATTTAATGTCAAATCAAATATCATTGTGTAAATTTTCCAGCCCTCTGTCTGTGTTAAATGTTATATCTACTTCGCAATCTTTGGCAACCTCATGGTTATGTGATTAAAGTATAGTATTTCAATCCAATTCCATTGAAAAACCTGGAATGGCATTTTATTCATGTATTCAGGTGACAGAATAAATGTGGTTTGTATCGATTTCTCTGTCTAGTGCAAGAAACCTCTCAGTCCCATTATGGATTGTTACTGAATGCTCTTGGTGAGAAAAATGAAATGGGACAAGTATTATTGGGAATGGAGAAAAGGCTGCAAGAAGTAAGTGTGAAATTATTTTTTAGTAAGCTGTAATTTGTCCTAGCTTCACTATTTCTTCAGAAGAGATACTCTACTTATGAGGTTGTGCCTTCAGAGACATAGCCTAATGTTATGTTATCATAGGCTATGAAATAATCATGTAATCTTTTTAGATATTAGACACTCTTTCTGCAAATCAAAACCTAAAGTTCCAAAAGCTGCATCTTTGCCATCATTGATAGCCTGTCAATAAAATACATTTTTAAAAAAGTACATGATCATACACTGCATGCATTACAAATTATTTTACAGAATATAACTTCTAATAGTAATGAAAAATTCTTACCTTTATTTAATCCTGTAGGTAGACTCTTTGTTCAGCTAGTAAGAAAGAAAGAAAAAAAAACCCTGATATATTCCTTGAAATTTATTTGATTGGATGAAAATAGGTCAATTTTGCTGCGTTATAATTATCTGCCTAACATTAAAGAAGTGTGCTTGATTGATTGCTTAAATGCCAAATCTGCCTGTAAAGAAGTCTTGCTCTCAGAAGCTAAACCACATATGTTTATGCTGGGAAAATATGACTTAATGAAAGCAAGAATAGCTTTGCAAATAAATCAGGAGAGTTATGAGCTTACAAGTTCATTGGTTCATTGATATCTGTGTCATGCTGATGACTTAATAAATTAACATTCTTTGCCTGGTTGAATCCTTTAATTCTTACTTTATAGACAACAAGGTTAGAGACTTTTTTTTTAAGACAAACAAGACAACTCTCTCTAAAGAAATGCTTTCTGCTAACATTTCCCCTTTCGTTAGCAGAACAAAATATTTTGCCCAGGAGTTACACTATAGCACTTTGAAGACAGCAAAGAAGCTGATATGGGTTAATAAGGGTCTCGGAGTGTGGAAAATCTATTAAGGTCACAAAGGGACCCCAAATCATAATCTTTTTTTTCATGGATGTCAGCTTTCAAAACTACCATTGAGGAATTACATTTTTAATACTTTAGGTTCCACAGTGGTAAAGTTTTTGAAAGCTGACATCTATAACAAATATTATGATTATTTAACTCTCTAGAGGCAGCTTACAGCAAATTAAAAGATGAAACTGCATTACAGACAATAAGATCACAGGGTTTCTCCAGGTGTCCATCTTTGCTTTAAAGAATTGCAGAGCCCTTTGGGCAACGTGGGATATAAGAGGAAAGAAAGTAAGACAATTTTATTTTATCTTATTTTTTTCTCATTTCTGAACAACCACCCATCTCCTTCAGAAAGGAACTCCGGGTGGCGTACAATAAAACCTCAAAAGTATAAAAACAGTATATAAAACTCTGTTAAAGTGAGCCAAGTGAGCCTTGGCAGCGCAGCAGACTAAAGCACTGTTAAGTAACACCAGCTGCCTGCAATTACTGCAAGTTCAAATCTCACCAGGCTCAAGGTTGACTCAGCCTTCCATCCTTTCGAGGTAGGTAAAATGAGGACCTGGTTTGTGGGGGCAATAAGCTGACTTTGTATAAAAAAGAACACCGCTTGGTGGGGGGTGTATACACCTGTATATAAGCAGGTATATACAAACGTATGAAGGCTATTGCTTAACGCATTGTAAGCTGCCCTGAGTTTCCGGAAAAGGGTGGCATATAAATCGAACCAATCAATCAATCAATCAATCAATCAATCAATAAATAAATAAATAAATAAATAAATAAATATTAATTAAGGTGATGGGAGGTTCTCATGGCATCAACCAGCCCCACAACTGCATGGGTTCCCCATGTGAGGTCAGAGAGCCATGTTTTAATTCTTTTTCAGAAGGCCAGGAGAGTGAGTACCTGCCTCACCTCTGGGGTGGTGGGGAGAATACTCCACAGGGTGGGGGCAATGGCAAGGAAGAATCTCTTCCTACACCCCGCCAGGCAGAGTTCTTTAACTGACGGGGTCTGCAACATATCATCTCTGCCCGATCAGGAGGAACGGGCCAATGTAATTGGATGAAGCCAATTCTGTAGGTAGCCTGGCCCCATGCTATGTAGGGCCATATACATGTTTTGCAAGACATAACTAACACCTTGATTGAACTCGGAAGCAAACCGATACCCAGAGCAGAGGTGTTACATGTGACATTCTTTGTTGCTTTGTACAAGTTAACAGTCCTCCTATACGATACTGGATTGAACTCATACTTGATAAAACCCCAAGTTCGGGGGGGGGGGTGTTTGTCTTTTTTGATTACAGGGGAAATTCAAAGTAAGAAATCACTTGTCTGTTTCATGATGTAGTGAACGTTGCATAAGTGTTAGTTACAGTTCATGTATTTTGAAGGTACTGCATGTTTGGCTTCAAGGCATAACAATAAACTCTTTATATGTCTCACTGATATATATAAAAGAAACGTACCTACTTCCCCCACACATTATAAAGAAAATACAGTGCATGAAACGCCCTTCAGCGGAGAGAAAAGTTCAATAAATTATACGCAGTATTGTATTTGGAATGAAAGCATTTTTAAACCCATCTTAACCGTTTTCTCTGCTGTTATGAACACTTTCCGCAGAAAGACACAGAAATCTCAGATCTGAAGTCTAGCCTTCAATTACTAAAAGAGAGTCTGGAGCAATTTACAGTTCAGCAGAACCAGCAGCACTTGAAGATCTGTGAACAATTGGACCATATGAAGCTTTCCAAAATTCTGAATGACTTACAAGCATTCATTTCTGCACCCAGAGAATCTCATCATCTCAAGGACAACGGCTCTCAGACTTCTCCAGATAGGCTGCTGAACCAATTATCTTATAGTTGCCACTTGAATGTTTTAAACATCTCTCCTGCAAACAAAGACATCTCTAATAAGGCTGCCTCAGAAAATAAAGAAAATTTTCACATGTGGCAGAAGAGCCATATTCCAGCCAGAAGCCCCAATGCCAACAAAACGCTTTGTTGCTGTGGTGGAAGTTTTCTTGCAAAAAGCCAAGAGAGAAAGTGGTTCCTTAGTCAAGAGCCAAACGAAGCTACTCCGGTGAGGAAAGTGATCCAGAGAAATAACCAAGCAAAAGGCTACAGTGCTACAAAACATTCACAGCTAAACCATCCTGAAATGGATAATGGGTTCGTGCAAAATCGTGCAGGTGATGGGAAAAGCGAGGAACTAATCCCAGGCAAGATGAATAATAAAAGTAAAGAAAACAGAGTTAAACAGGGCAAGCCACGGTTGCCTAGCCAGAGGAAAAGAATGTACCCCTCCAGGAAAGGAAACAGTTTGAAATATCCCAGAGCTAATATAAAACAGGAAACAACAGGAAAAGGACACTCCATTGGAGAATACGCCTGTAGGGAAACAAGGGAATCTGGTAGTATTAGCTTGAGGCCTGTGGTTTTGAGTGAGAAAAAGACAAGCAGTTTCCAGGACAGAAAGGCGAAGAAATCTAAGCTCCTATTCCTTTCCCATGAAAACCAGCAGCCCACGCCGAATCTCCATGAGAGGCCTCCTGGCATTAAGGGCAACCATTGTTTCTGGCCCTGCTCCTCTCCAGAAAGTTCCTTTCCCCAAACCCAGATCAAGTGGCTAGATCTCTTTGATAATTTCTCCCTGACTAATTGCAATACTCCTGTTCCCAAGAATGCCACAGCCGGTTGCCAATTATTTTTTGACAGTGAGTATTCTGATTAAAAGGGGTTTGTATATAGCATCTGCTGTGGAACTTTCCTTGTTACTTTCCGTTACCAAAAAGGAACCCTGTTTGGGTATTGTAAATAGTAATCCCAGCATTCTGGATCTATCACTCCCATCATCACTGAGGAGTTGTTTTATGTTGTAACATTTTAAGAAATACTATAGTAAAGTAGAAAAATGGAGCATGTATCATTTAATTCCTCTACAGTTCTGGAGATGGGAAAGGAAGTATATGACTAAAGTTGTTTTCTTTAATATGTCTATACTGGCTCTTTGCTTTTTGTCTCCTCCCCAAAAATGTAATTCCCCCCCCCCCCGTGGTTATATACATAATGCCCCAAATAAGGATATTCTGAACTTATTAATAGTATGGTTGTGAGCATAGGAATGTTTGTTTGATTTATAATATAACACACAGTATCTACTTGATAAATGTGTTTATTAAACCTGTACAATAAATATTCTATGGATTCTGGCCAATTCTGAGACTGGGAAGATTCTTGCAACTGGTTTTGCTGACACGTTGAATACTCTCTTTTTTGTGACTGTATGAGGAAAGCAGCTCAAGGAAGCAGGTCCCACATGATTCGATGCGTTATTTGATTAAGGAGATTTGGGATATCTAAACACTCTACTTGCCTTGCTATAAAATTGTTCCCCAAGCTGTTTGTTTGGGACATACCATATTTTTTGCACTATAAGACGCACTGGACCATAAGACACACATTAGCTTTAGAGGAGGAAAACAAGAAAAAAAATCTGCCTCCCAGCATCCATCTGGTATTTATCTGGCTAGCGTCTTTGCAGCAAACAGCCTGGTCAGCTTCAGCACGTTGTCACAGCTCCAGCACATGGCTCGTCAGGGCTCCGTTCCGTTGTGCCCACCACTCAACTGAGCTGAGCTGCTGCTGCTGGGGAACACTGGAGCCTTTGCTGCCGAGCAGCTGATCGGCGGTTGGATTGGCCTCCCGGAATACCGCTGATCAGCTGTTCTAGGCGGCGGGGATCACTGATTGCTGCTGCTGAATTGGCAGCAATTGGCGGCGTCAATTGGTCAGTTGACCGGCTGTATTCCGGGAGGCCAATCCAACTGCCGATCAGCTGTTCAGCAGCAAAGGCTCCAGCGTTCCCCGGTGGCAGCAAATGGCAGCAGCGGTGACAGGTGGTGGCGCACGCCAACCCCCTTCCCCCACTGCAATATTTGTTCTATAAGACACATAGACATTTCCACCCACTTTTTTTGGGGGGGGGAAGTGCATTTTATAGTGAGAAAACAGCCCCAGTGCTCTGTGAAGACAACCTTCACCATAGTTGCTTTGGTTCAGACATGGCTTCCCCCCTCTTATTTCTGCTGCAAGAAGCTACAGCAAGCATTCAAACTGGCAAAATAATCTGAAGAGCATTTAGGAGGGGAGTCTGCTCTGTTTCTACTGACTACCTGAGGCCTTACTGCAGGCATTCCCTACCATTCTCCCTCTCCGGAGCCATTTCAGTGGTCAAGATCTTAAGGGAACAGTCTCCTTTGTGTCACAAAGACCTCTCTCATTCCAACCAATGGCAGGGAGAGAAGGAGGGAGGGGGAATGAGGCCTGTTTGATGCTAGCTCTCCAGACACCAGAAAGGGGTCTCACCTGTTCAAAGCTTCCCATACCCTCAAATGGCTTATGTCCTGCAGCTCTTGTGTATTTAAAATACAGTTTCAACAGATCTGTAGAGCAATCGTGGCCCTTTTATGACTTCAGGACTTCAACTCCCAGAATTCCTAAGCCAGCCAAGTCATAAAATGGCCATCGTTCACCATCCCTACCTATAGAGCACACTTGGTACGTGTTTCATGCCCTAAAGCTTCCTACAGAGCTCAAGACTACCCCAAAGCATTTTTAAGGGAGAGGAGCATTGCAACTAAGAGAAGTGACTTTGCATCTTGCATCGGGTGGGGGTGGGGGGCACAGGTTGCAGAGTTGCTTCCCTGGGTGCACTGCAGGCCACATCCCTCAGGAAAGGGTGAGAATCCTCTTCCCTCCTTTTCCCTGCTTCGCTTTCACCCATGGTAACCAGAGGGTGAGTCTCCCTCCTCTCTTTCCCCCCACCCAAACAAGGAAAAGAGAGAAATGGGGAGGAGAGAAATGATGAATAATGCTTCCTTTCAGGGCAGTTCTTTGATCTCACCTGTTTGATTGGGCTTCTGATGCCAATAGTTGCTGTTAGGGAGATGTATCTCATCCCATCTCTTTCCCCTTTCCAGGTTCTCAGAGAAGACAGGCCCTATTCTGTTCCTAAGGAAACCAGAATGGGGATCCAAAATGCAATCGGCGCTGTACTTTTTTGAGCTGTCTTGACTATTTTAATGACAGCTGTCAGTCTTTAGTGCTGCCGTGCAATAGATCATGCATAAAACTGTCAGGAACATTGTATTTCTCATCTTGCTTTCCCTGTCTGATTTACCGTAATTGGAACTGAGGTTGGAGAAGAACGACTGATTCTTTCCTTAAGTGTCAATGGAGGGTTTCAAATAACCCATATAGTTCTTTTTTTTTATTGTTTTCGTAGTAGTTGAAAGAAACACTTGGTTTAATTAGGGAGGTTTGCAAATGAAGGTACCATCTCTCCCACATCTAGAAAACTGATTGCTTTCAACAGTGCTTTTACTCTGATTAGAGCCATTCTTTGCTGCAAGTTAATATTGTTAGAGCTTCGCTCAACTATTAAATTTCTCCTGGGTTAAAAAAAATGTAACTTATTTTGTATAGCCATTCTAAGGATGATTTTTCAAAATCTGTACATTTTATACCACAGGCAGAAAAGGTAACTCTAGAAGGCATATATACATATTGTGATTTCTTGGGCCAAAGCCACAACTTTATATTTCACCACACAATCCCCAATACAATAAAATTGAGATTGTGTTTCTGCATTTGCAGGCATCCCACAGTCTCTCCCTCTCCCTATAAATCAGAGATAATGAAGTCAGAGAAGCTTCTTTGGCTCACATTTTGATGTACTTTCTGAATATATATGCAAACTGGAACCCACTGCCAATATATACAGTTTTCCTAATTTTGCGTTGCAGCTTGCAATTAAATGTATAAAATGTAGAATGCATGTAGTATCACTTATCCTCACATGCACTGATTATTAAAATTTCCATATTAAGAATGATTATTAAATCATATGAGCATTTTAATAGATGCATGGGTTTTCATGGAAATTTTAAAAATGGAATTAGACTGGGCAAGTCTCGTTGAGGTGCCTGAAACCCAGTTCTGGGGGTTCGGCTGGAATGAATTTGAGCATATAATTCTCAAATAACCTGGAGAGGATCATCTGGACCAGGGGTCTCCAACCTTGGCAACTTTACGACTTGTGGACTTCAACTCCCAGTTCTGGAAGTTGAAGTCCACAAGTCATAAAATTGCCAAGGTTGGAGACCCCTGCTCTGGACTGTAAATCCATTTATTAGAGCCAAGTTTCTCCTGCTTGTTAAAGCTATATGCTACTTAGTAGATGACATAGTATTGAGAGCAAGTAGTGATATCCGTTTCCTTGAGAGGGATGGTGCTAATACAAGTACTGATGCACCCCTTCTCAAAAACCCAACAACAGATAATTTGGTTCAGCCCCAACTTTCCCTCTTTAGGGAATGATGTTAAGAATGTGATTGGCTGAAGCTCCAGAGGACCCTGGAGAAAACAAATTTTCTGGATCCATTTCAGTCAGGATTCAGGCCAGGGCATAATACTAAGATATTTATTTATTTACTTAGCATTTGACATATCATGCATGGCATTGCAAGACAAGATAGACCTGCATGTGGATTAGAGAACAAAGAAAAGTCTATGATATCAAGAGAGTAAAAGAATGGAAATGGGCTGGTCACATAGCAAGAAGAACCGATGGCAGGTGGACCAAGGCAGTCACAGAATGAATCCCACTTGATAAAAAGTGTCCACGAAAGATGGAACAAGATGGATCGATGAGATCAGCAAGTATTGTGGGCCCAATTGGCAAAAGAAAGCTCAGGACTGTATTGGTTGGAAACATACGGAAGAGGCCTTCATCCTGCAATGGATAAACAGTGGCTAAAATGATGAGAGGTGGTGGTGGGGCATATCATACATGGACTCGCAATATAAATTAATGTTTTAACTAGATTAGTAGAACCCAATAAAACATAAACATTAAAAATATTTATATTCAAACAACAATGTCTAGGCCCATGATGGCGAACCTATGGCACGAGTGCCACAGGTGGCACACAGAGCCATATCTGTGGGCACACGAACGTTGCTCTAGCTCAGGTCCAGCGTGCATGGGCATGCCAGCCAGCTGATTTTCGGGCCTTCCGGCCCCACCGGAAGTTGGGAAACAAGCTGTTTCCAGCTTCCTGAGGGCCTGGGAGGGTGGGTGGGAAGGCTGTTTTCGCCCTCCCCAGGCTCCAAGAAAACCTCTGGAGCCTGGGGAGGGCGAAAAACAGGCCTTCTGGGCCCACCAGTAACTTTTTTGCCATTGCGTGCCAAAAGCAGGGAGAGCATGGGGGGGTTGCGCACGCATAAATGGGGGGTGGGTGAGGCACGGGGGACATTGAATTATGGGTGTGAGCACACATGCACATGACCCCCCCCATGTTCCCCTCACTTTTGGCACGTGACGGCAAAAAGATTAGCCATCACTGGTCTAGGCCATCTAACCATTGAAGTGCAGCATCGTTTATATTACAAATAATCAGATACTGGTAATAATTCAGTATCTGATTATTTGTAATATAAACAATGCTGCACTTCAATGGTTAGATGGCCTAGACATTGATGCCCTCATCTTACAGCTGGTCACAATTCATATTAAGATAGTATTAATCATGCTTGTCAATGACCTGTGATGGTGGCAGGATGGGTGAGGTGTTACTGTCCCGGTCCTCTTTGATTGCTTGTTTTTTGTTACTATCAATCATGGTATCCTCCCAGACCACCTATAGAGAATGGAAATTTGGAACCAGGATTCTCGTTTTTTATGGGTGGTAGCAGGGAAGAGATAAAACCTTAGGTCTCTCACCTCTACAGTGCTTCAGAACACAATGTCTTGCCCTCTCTGTTTAACATCTATATCTAGCATGAAGTGATCCATCTATTTTTGTGTGCTTGAAGGAGAGGGTGGAGAGATTTTCTATTTTCATGCAAAACTAAAGAAGGAGCATGACATCCTCAGCTATTGACCAATAGCTGAGAGCACTTTTCATATTTTAGAGCCTTGGTGGCGCAGCAGACTAAAGCACTGTTAAGTAACACCAGCTGCCTGCAATTACTGCGAGTTCAATTCTCACCAGGCTCAGGGTTGACTCAGCCTTCCATCCTTTTGAGATAAAATGAGGACCCAGTTTGTGGGGGCAATAAGCTGACTTTGTATAAAAAAGAACACCGCTTGGGGGGGCTCCCGAAAGCCCTACTAAGCAGTATATACAAAAGTATGAAGGCTATTGC